AAAGTGAGATGTAATCCCCAAGGGACTTTAACCAGCTTAGTAAGGGTACAAAAAGGGGTACGGCAGGGTTGCATCCTGTCTCCTGCCCTTTTTAACTTCTATATCAACCCCCTGATCGATCTCTTACAGAACCCTGATCTGCGTCCGCCCAACCTAGCACATCGCAAAATCCCGATTCTTCTATATGCCAACGATGTAGTCATTATTTCGCAAACTCCGGTAGGACTGAAGAGAGCAATTAGGGCAACACTTGGCTGCTGCAGACAGAACAAATTGGTCTTTAACTTTGATAAATCAAAAATTTTAGTTTTTGCTAAAAGACCCAGCCAATACTCCTGGAAAATAGAAGGACATAGTTTGGAATAGGTTAGAACATTTAGAGACCTTGGGGTGGTTTTCCACTCGCAAGGAAAATGGAAGGCACACCTGGATCACAAATTGCAAACAGCCAATAGGTCCTTAAATGCAATCAAACATTACTTTTACACAGGCAGAGGTCAATTAGTACCTGCTACCTTGAAACTTTTTGAGGCCAAAACATTGGCGCAAATTCTATATGGGGCACAAGCAGGAATCCTTGCAAAGAAAAACTTGCTGGAAACCATACAAACCAAATTCCTGTGAGCCATCTTAGCTGCACCCAAAGGAACCCCAAATGCTCAATTAAGAATTGAGACAGGCATGCCCCAAATCCAGGTAAGAGCCTGGAAGATGATGATCATTCACTGGCTTAAAATGCATTTCTTTCCAGAGGGATTGTCCCGTTAGTGCTGACTGACAACTTTCCTTCCCCCTGGAAGCAGGTGATAGATCATAAACTGGGCTCTTATGGGCTCTCTTCGATATTCTTAATGTCCCTAGGCTTTGACCAAGCAAAGCAAGTAATATCCAATAGAATAAAGGACATGGAGTTCCAAGAATAACCAAATAGGTTGCTTTGCCACAGTAGGGATAGAATCAAACAGGGTGTGTGGGAATCGGCAAGATATTTGAATAATCTGACCTTCCCAAAACAAAGAATAGTTTTTTTCAGAGCCAGATTTAACATTCTTCCCTCAGCACTCCTACAGGGCAGGTATAAGAGAACACCAATAGCAGAACGGGTATGTATATGTGGTAAAGGAGAAGTCGAAGATATCTCACATGTTTTATTGTACTGTGAGTTATACCAAGTTTATAGGACAGCGTATATTCTTCCTTTATTAGAGAGATTGCCAGGGAGGGCAGACAATTTTTATGTAGGCTTTCTCCTCCAAGACTCAAATCCTTCTATCACGCATGCAATGGCAAAATACTGTGTTGCGGCAATGTCCACAAGAAAAAAATTGGTTACAGATTTATAGTCGTCAACTTGTGCCAATTTTTTGGAGATATCTCTAATAATGTTTGGAACATTATATTTACTCACACATTAATCAGCTATCCACTCATGTAAATTAGGAAGTGACCCTAACATTTTGAGAACATGTATTTTTTTTAACAGGGATGTTATTATTTACTATTAATGTTGTTATTATATTATTATTATTATTATTTAATATATTGTAAAAAGTGATGGCTATTGCTGGTGTATGACCATAATAAAGTTTATTATTATTATTATTATTATTTATGGATTATCGCACAGTCAGCCAGATGTTCAGACTGGATTTGGCATTTAGTCTACCTATCGAGTCCTTACCAAGGACCTGGGATAGGCAGATGTGGATGTTTGATGGTATTACAGATATCGTCGCAGGATGGAAGCAGTTCCTAGTAAGGCCGCCTTTTGCAATTGACTAATAGCGAATTTGTCAGTGCCAATGGTGTTATTATTATTAGTTTCTCCAATAGTTTCAAAGGCCAATATGAAATAAATCTGTTGATCCAAACATGTTAAAATTACACAGTCACATATTGTGTGCCAGTTAGATGGCTGATACTATATTTCAGGATACATTATTTTACAAGAAACTCTGCCTGTTTTCACTATCAGTTATCAGAAAGTTCTATCTCCAGTTTTGGACAATAATGAATATTCTCACAAATTCGTATTGAAAAATTAACATTCCCCTGCATAGTTTAGTAAAATGCTTTTAAACTAAAATATAAGGAAAATATATTAATTTTCTTAAATATGAATCTATAAGAATGTTTAATATTTGGCATTCATCAGGAGTTGAACCTTACTGGAATGATTTTTATAAGTAACATCATATTTGCATCATTTATTCTCAAGGGGTTTTTATGCTTCATTTATAAGTAGGTACATTAAACTCTATTTTCCTTTTTGTTTTTAATACAACTGTTTGAATTTTCATTGACTGTATTTAAATTGTGGTGGTTTTTCTGAGCTGCTTAAACTTTACTTTTTTATTTGTAAAAATAATTTTACACTTAAAGAAAAAAAAACTGACAAAGAAAAGGCAAAAAGTGAATATAATTCTGAATCCTTTAAAGAAATCCACTGGGTCTATGGATAGTGGGGCTTATTTGAAAAAATTCTGAAATATAGTTGATTTATACTTTTTCTATTGTGGTTTACTGCTTGTATTTTTTTTTCAAAGTTACTTCATAACAGGTATAACAACTTGAAATCATTTTTCCCATATCACTGCATTTGGATAAAGCTTTTACTTTCCATTGCTTTTTCTCATGCATGAAATACAGTTTTTTTTTTGCTTTCATTTATATCTCTTGATATTTCCTTTGTGGAAAAAAAAATCTATTACAAATTTTCTTAAACGAACCTACTCCTTATATTGGATTTACTGTTCTGCCAATTCCTATTTGACCTTGCTCAAATGAGTGGTACCTAGCCAAATTTTATAGTGGCAATCATTTTATTTTGCATGGAAATACATATGTAAGACAGCATGGACATAGTCATGATAGTTTTTCAGATAGTGATTTTGACATAGGTTAGCTAAATTAAGATTCTTACAAAGAAACCCTAGAACTACTTCTGGTAAGAACAGTTATGGAAGATAGGTGATGAAATCTGACTTCAGTTATATAAGTAGTATTTTGCCAATAACAATAATCACATAATCCCAGAATAAGCATCAAATCCAGGCACATCCGGTTGGCAAATTGCAGAAAAGTAAGTTTAACTTTTGATGCAAAAACATTTATCCACTAACTTTATCACAGTTCCCTCTGCATAAAATGCTCATTCTTTCCATCCAGTTTTTTCTCTCTCAGTGGTATAGTCTATCAAAGTAAAGATACATTTCTTTACAGCTGATTACTAAGGCTAATTAAACAATTTGCTTAATTAATAGTCATAATAATCATTTCAAGTCTGTCATTTTTTTTCCTAGTATTAAGATAGTTTCATAAAAGGAGAAGTACTAAGAAATAACTTTTGTCAACACTCAGTAGGAAAAGCATTTGCTTTTTCTTTAATGATTAATAGATAGTGTGCCACGTTGATCCTGACAGGCAAGTTAAGTACTGTACTTATGAGGAAGACTCAGTGCATGCTCCTAAACAGGATTAGCATGGGCAGCACCACCTCAAAGCACTGAATATCTGCAAAATCTGATTTCATTCCACAGGTGTCTGATTTAGGATTACATTGCAAAAGAAATTCTAATTCTTTTGCTCCTCAAAGAGACCCACCATACTCTTTTATGCTCTAGATGAATATATTATGGGAATGATTGTTTTCAATACAATATCTGTTAAAGGGTTCATTTACATAATGTTTATCTGTTTGTTTATTCTAGGCTAGAGATAGATTACTGGAAATTTGTGTGGTGGGAAAGGAAACTGGAATCTCTAAACTTGGAAGCTGTAAAAGAACATACCTAATAACACCAATGAAAACTTCAGTGCTAATTTAAAGCATTCATTTCATTGCTTCATATTGAACTGCGTTAACAGTCTTGCCCAGTTTGGTACTTTCCAATGTGTGGAAACAATTTCCAGACTCTTCCAACAGAATTCGTCTTACATTACCTGGGAATTTAGTGTTAGTCCAAACATTGCATTCTGTTGTTGAAGACTGCACTGCACTATTCAAAATTAAGTGGTGTGAAATCTATGGCATTTTTGATGTCAGTGAGTTGCAACTCTCAGTATGGTTGATGGTGGGAATTTATACACTATACACTAATTTATACACTATACTATGGCCTCTAGTTGATGAAAACTAGAGGCCATAGTATGCTACCTCTAAAATACTGAATTGGGTAACAGATTTTTTCATTTGACCAGAACTCAAACAAATTATACAGAATTCCGGATCATGTAGAAAAACTTGTAACACTTTTTTTTATAATATCTACTACAGTCATAGATATCAGATTCAGGATGATCCACCATGATCTTATCACCTTTCAATGTACTTAGGATTTATGAGGTGCATGAAAAACATACAAGGCAGGAAACAAAAGCAAATTTAAATTTAAAAGAAGATGACAACAACATGACAATGACCTTTGTTGAGCATTCTGTAATATGTATCTTTGGAAATCAAGGCTTTAGCTTCCAATAAATCTATTGCTCTGGTTGAATGTTTTCACTGTGGAGTAATCAAGTAAACAGCAACATTCAAACAGTATGGATTGTCTGAGTTGATAGGCAACCCAAGGAAGAAAAGAGGTGGATGTAGATTTTTTTTTCTATAAATGTATAAAATGTTTAAGGAAAACTCTCACAGTCTATATAAACCATATAAAAACCTAAAATCTTTTTTTATAATGTAGGAAAAGCTAGTTATAGTAGTAATAAGACATTACACCTTATATTTGATTTGCTTTTTCCTACTTGTTAGCTTCAGGATTTTGTTCTTTGAAACAGATGTGTTTCACATTAGGAGTCCATTTAAATATTTGGAAATATGCCAGCAATACAATCTTTTAACTAAGATTTGGTTGGCCCTGGAGATTGTGTGTTTGTATATGTGGGTATTTTCTGCAAGAGTTTGAGTTAGTTGTGCAACATCCTGCTACTCTGAAAAAAAAGCAGAAAAAGTGCTGAGTAATGCTGGAACTAGTTCATATGGCTGATGCAAACCTGTGGAATTTGCATCATCATTCAGGAAAGCTAACTTGGTATGACAAGGAAGCTTAAACACAATACCATACTGAAGTGGAGCTGGCTTCCAATGACAGAACAGCACCAAAGCTGAGGCAAAAGGCAGGTGTTTTTCAGTAGCATTTTGATATCACTGAAAAGTTAAAAGACGCCTGAGGAGCTTTGTACCTGTTGGCACAAGCAGTTTTAAAGGTTAGAGGCAGAAAGGGAGTGTGTGCAATAGCTATTAGCTAGGAAAAGACGAAGAGAAGAAAAAAGAAGAGAGAAGGTTTTTGTTTTAATCTTTGTTAATTGTGTGAGCTGCTCTAAAGCATGTTTAGGAAATCTCCAGTGTCATCATTTTCCAATGGAAGCTACCCTCAAGGACAACCTAACTTGCCTTCAACATATGACATCAAGGTAGAACCAAGAGACAAAGTGGTGCTGAAGAAGAAAATAACTTTCCTGAGAGGAGTATCCATTATCATTGGTACTATAATTGGAGCAGGAATCTTCATCTCTCCAAAAGGAATTCTGAAACACACTGGCACTGTGGGAATGTCCTTGATTGTCTGGACTGTCTGTGGCATTCTTTCACTCTTTGGTAAGTTTTGAAAGTTTTTAATTGATCCTTGGCGTGGTTAGCTATACTGGTGATGCTGTCTATCTGTCTCTCTGTCCATCTATCTACCCACACAGACATACACAAAGCCTGAAGATCAAAAGTTTGGTTAATGTGTCTTCTGTACTGAATGAATTTCAGTTTTTGTTTTTTTAAATAGATGAGGCTCCCCGAAATAGACAAAGAAAGGAGTTTCCTCAATCATAAAAATCTGTTATTTGTGATGTTTCTGTACACACTCTAAAAACAAGTTGCAGCAGGCTTGCAGTGTTCCAACTGGGAGAGGATCTTCTCAGTCTTAAAAACCTGCAAGAAATAAAATATACCTAGCTCAATGTTGTATGAAGATAATTATTAATGGAGTAAATTTTAACTGATGTATTTGCTGGTTTCCAATATATAGTAATACAGACTTAAATTACTTTTTTTTTAAAAAATGAGACAAAAGTCTTGTTTAATTGTAGATGGAATTGTAGATGCTGAACTGGAGTTACTTCTAATTGTTAGTGAAGATTATTTGGCAAAAGTAAAAAACCTAGTAAATGTTCAGAAGCATTACAGCAATTTAAGTCACAGCAGTTGGCAGCTGCTGTGACTTAAAGTTCTAGATATTTTAAATTTAAACTTTAGTAGCAATTCTATGCATTTTCATTATTGAGCAATATAAATTTCTTTTCAGCATTTCTATATCTGAATACAATTTTGAGGAGCAGCATTAATAATCTGCCTGACAGTTTTGCAATGTACAAAAAGACATTGCTTAAAGATTTTGAGTTTCTCTAAATGTTAATAATTATATTGGGAGTAAAATGTATCATTGATATTAGACTTATTTCTTGTTCTTAAACTGTCCAAACAATGAATTCATTGGTTGCCTTAATCAGCTAAGAAGGGGCATAATCCATATGACTAGAATAATTATTATAGTCCGTAGTACTTTTTTCTAGCATTAGAAACAGTGGATAAACTAGACTGAGTATCAAATATCCACTCAAGAAGTGGAATGAATGTTGTTCTCTGTCAATATATTCTGCATGTTAAAGAGCAGAGGTTAATCCACCTTGATAAACAACTTGTTTTACATAAACAAACTGAATCAGAAGTAGGATGTAGAATTGACACACCAAGAATAATTTATGGTTGCTTCCTTCAATATAGTGCTTCCTGGATATATGGATTTCAGATTTCCAGAATTCTTAGATACATTTATCAAACATTCTAGGAATTGAAAATATGGAAAACAGCTAAGATGAGGATGATGTTATTCCCCCTGCAGTTCTTATAAATTCCAGGTGTCTTATTTTATAATACTCAGGTAGTGTGACTGGTTCAGGAAGGAACAATACAAATGATCAAGATGATAAGTTGATCAAAGGCTTGGAGATTAAAACATACGTTTGGCTAAAGAAAAGAAGAAATAGGGGAGATATAATAGCAGTATTTCAGTATTTGAGGGGCTGCTACAAAGAAGAGGGGGTCACTTTATTCACCAAAGCACCAGACGGAAGGATGAGAAACAATGATTGGAAACTGATCAAAGACAGAAGCATCCTAGAATTGAGGAAAAACTTCCTGACAGTGAGGACAATTAACCAGTGGAACAACTTGCTCCAGAAATCATTGGCACTCCATCACTGGAGATTTTTAAAGAAGCTAGATAGTCACTTGTCTGAAATGGTATAGGTTCTCCTGATTAAGCGGGAGGCTGGACTAGAAGACCTCCAAGGTCCCTTCCAGCTCTATACTATTATAAATAGTACAGTCCATTATTTTTGCAGTGCCCATATTGGTTAACCAACACAGACAATGCAAGGATTATCCATAAAGTACATCTGAGCCAAGGTGGCGCAGCAGTTAGAGTGCAGTACTGCAGGCCACTTTAGCTAACTGTGTTCAGCAGGTCAGCGGTTCAAATCTCACCGGCTCAAGGTTGACTCAGCCTTCCATCCTTCCGGGGTAGGTAAAATGAGGACCCAGATTGTCGGGGGCATTGTAAATATATATATACATTGCTTACTGGTGTACACCGCTTAGAGAGTGCTTGCACTTAAAGCGGTATATAAGTCTCATAAATAAATAAATCTATATTCTGAACTTCTTACAATGATATTATTTCACTTATGCTGCTTATTTTTATTATGGAATAACTAAAGGAACAGAAATAATTTTTATTCTTCTGAAATTTGTAACGCACAAATGTTTTCTGATAAATTCACTGAGAATGAGTATAGCAGTAAGTCCTTCCTGTTACTATTCAATATAATTAACACTGCCTCCAAACTATTCCACTTTCCATTTTTGTTCCTTGGAATTTTAAGAATTGAAATTTTAAATTAAACCAAATTAATCCATTAATCCAATCAGGCCTGTTGAAAGGTAATACAAAGATACTTCTGAAAATGCTTATTTTAGAGAATTGAACATTTTCTTAGGAATCAGGCTAATGTTTATTTCAAATTATTGATATATTTCTCTAGGTTTATCTTGTAATTTCTATTGAGAATGGTTTAGAGAAGAGGCCAAGAGATGTAGTGAGTTGATTAAATGTAAAAAACCCCATGTAATTTAGATTTTACTCATTCATTTCTTACCTTTGTCGTTGAGCACAAGCTGAGGCAGATGCAGGATCCTCCCCTCTATTTCCATAACAAAACTTCTGAGAGAGAAAATTACTGTCCCAAAATGAACTATGATGGAATGATGTTTGAATAGAAAAATACAAGAGGGAGAAGGCTAAAACACTAAAATATGTCCATATAAATAGCCAGCGAATACTGCAAAGTTTTTAGAATGGTTGTTGGTTATTAATAACCTTCCAATGTAAAATGACAAATATTTATCAGAAAAGTGTTTTTACATTGTTCCTTCAATGGATATATTTTGTATTCTCTATTAAAAGTAATGAAGAACAATTAAATTGTTAAGATAATTTTAAAGTAGAGTTTGAAATGTGCAGAGTTTAATAGTTTAGGACATGCATAACTGGTTGTATGAACAATGTGACTCTTTGCCTCAGGTAGCAATGATGTTTTTACACTAAGGATCAATAGACAGGACTAATTTTATACAGTCTAGAGATAGGTTTCTAATACATCAAATGGGCATGTAAATGTTTGACTACAATTCTGCTGGAAAACTCACAACATTTTATGGTGGTATCGAAAAGTATATATCTTTGCATTGAGAAAATTGACATTTGTCAGTTGCAAAAATTACATAATATATGGCATGGATTGGCACATATTCTATGCAAATATATTATGACATCCTAGGTTCTTGGGAAGAACTTGATGTGTATGAAGGGCGGCACAGCTAAGGAACTAGTAGCTATGACTTCACATTGTGAATATATAACAATAATTTGTTATTTGCAATGATTGATATACATATTGAAAAAAGAAAAGTCTGGTTAATTGATATTGCTATACAGGTGATGCTAGGTTTGAAGAAAAGTAATACAAAATTGTGAAATACTGAGATTTGCAGACTGAAGTTCATGACTTATGGAAAAAGAACTCCACTGTTATACAGGTAGTCCTTGACTTATAATCTTTTGTTTAGTGACCATTCAAAGTTACAAAACCACTGAAAAAATGACCTATGACTAGTTTTCAAATTTACCACTGTTGTAGCATCTCTATGATCACATGATCAAAATTTGGCCACTTGGCAACTGGCATGCATTTATGGCAGTTGCACTGTCCTGGTGTCATGTGATGACCAACTGACAAAGGTTGGTAACCTGTGACTTAGAGGAGAGGGAAAATCATAAAATAGAAATAGAATGAAAATGGCAAAAAAAAAAAAAAAATCAAAGATAGTACCAATAGTAATAGGTCCTTTGAGTGAAATTCCAAGATATCTGCATTCTATTTGAATGCCATCAGCATTGACCAAATAATCATCAGTCAATTGCAAAAGACAGCTGTGCTTGGAACAGCTTACATTCCATGACAATATCTTTAGTATTATTAAAAAAAAGTCTCCCTATCCCAGTCCTTGGGAAGGACTTGATAGGTGGACAATGATGTGAAATCCAGTCTAAATATCTGGGTTACTCTGAAGCCAACCATAATAATTTTAAAAATCATAAATCTATCTTAAGGCTTTCCAACTCTGAAATTTTTGGAAAGGAAGTTCAGTTGCAACCCCATGTACTATTGTATATCTCATGTCTGTTCTTCTGTTGTAGAAAAGCAAAATCAGTGCTTTTTTTCTAAAAAAAAAAAAGTGCCAGAACTCACACATGTCATACAACCCGCCTTTTAGGTTCCATCCTAAAAAGGTGCCGGAACTCCTATCTGGGCATTCTATGAGAAAAAAAGCCCTGAGCAAAACAATAGCTCAACTTCATGCTGACTTGCATTTGTATCACTATGGAACAATCTGCTACAATCATATCCATAAATTGGCTCCCGATATGATAAGAGTCTATTTTAGTCCTTATTTTCCAGACTTTCATTTGTGACACTATGATTTTTCGCATTGGCAGAAGTTTAGTTTACTTTTTTAAAAAATATTTTCCTGTAGGCTCACCTGAACTGAACTTGGGTTAATGATTGATAATTTTCTGGGGGAGAAAGAAATGTAAATAAATGATATTTTAGTACATGAGTATTCCAGATACCAGTGAGATATAAATCTGCTTATTGATAACAAATGATAATTGTCTTCTGATTATGAAAATTTTTGATAAATCTTGCCAAAACAGTTAAGTTTGCTTTGTTATAGGTGCTCTCTGCTATGCAGAACTAGGCACAAGTATTAAGAAATCTGGTGGTCATTACACATATATTCTTGAAGCCTTCGGCCCACTACCTGCCTTTGTAAGAGTCTGGGTAGAACTACTCATCATACGGTAAGTAAACATACCTTTTTTGCTGTCATTTTACTCCTTGTGTGCTTTGAAAATCAAAGAACAATTATAAATATGATAATAATTGACACAGTCTATTGGTTTTTCTTTCTTAAGTTTTCCTTTGTTTGCTTTCTTTCCAAGATTTTATATATCTGAGTATCTGATGTACTTTTATAAACAGATATAAGTTATAGAAAATTTAATTTATTATGATCAGTTATCAGAATGTATACACACACATGTGATAAATATTCACATAAAATAAACTCCCACCCTAAACTCACAAACTTAGTATACTTAAAAGAAATTAGAAAAGCTGCTTTGTATCAAGAGACAGCAATATATTTCTCCTATGTGGGCTTATAAGCTATTATACAAAATTTGGTAATATGTAGATATAGATATAAATGATATAGATATAAATGATGTAGTTTTTCCTGTAACATGCAAAAAGAAAAAGGATTATATATTGATGACATTGTGAGTGGGGTAATAAAATATTTGCAATTATAAAATATACAATAATAGAATAGTATTGTAAAGATTCAGTCTGCCATTCTAAAACAGCACATGCAGTATGGACTTTCATTTACATTATATCCCAAACAGAACTTATGAAGACAAAGCAGAGCTAAAGTAAAAGCCTATCAATATTTTGGCACTGGTGTATTAAATAATATGCTGACTTCCAAGAACAGTCAGTTCTATTCACAACCAAATGATTTGGAACCAGTAACATATCCAATGAATGATCAGTTCATGTTCTTAATTTGTTGCTTAATTATTGGCTGTGCTATTCTCCAAACCAAAAGTCAACAGTATTCCAAGAACAATTCCATATGCTTAGAACTTAGTTTTCAAAAGGAGGCTCCAAAAAAACTGATATGAAGTTGGCAATACAATGGGCCCCAAGTTTAATGGTAGCAATCCAGAATGTTACCTTTACCTTCGGAAGACTTACTTAGACTCACAAAATAACATTGGTAACACAATTAGAAATATTAAAGATTGTCTTAGACATTTTGGATTGGATTAATTTCAAGTGCTGTACATTTGGATATGACTCAAGTTAAGCTACATATGTAATTTGTGGTTATTTATTTATTTAGCATATGGCCTCTACAGAGTTTTTTATTTTTATATATTTTACATTAATGTTCTGATTTTTCTGATAAAAATAAATTGGAAAGGTAAGCTATAGACTTCTGGAGATTAAATGCAGGTAGTCCTCAACCTAGAACCAGTCAAAATTATAGTGAAAAAAGGGACTTATGACTGGTTCTCACACTGTCACATGATCAAAATTCGAGTGCCTGGTAACTGGCATTTAGGAAGGTTTCAGCATTCTCGTGTGAAGTGTCCACCATTTGCAAGCAAAGTCAATGGGGAAAACTGAATTCACTTAACAATCATATGATTCACTTCACAATGGCAGTGATTCACTTAACAACCATGGCAAAAAAAATCAAGCAAGACTCACTCAACAACTGCCTTGCTTAACAACAGAATTTCCGCATCTAATTATGATAGTAAGTCGAGGGCTACCATACACCAAGTGATAGGATCTTGTAGCTGGTCAAATCATGCACCAGCATTGGATCTTATCATTCAGAAGAATTATATTGTGCAGAATGAACAGATCATTTTGAGCTGCAGATATGTAAAAACAACAACAACAACTTCTTGTTCTTTAGGAATTACCTATAGTAGGTTTTTCTTTTGTGTATTGGCACGCAATTTGTCATTCCTGCTGTCTTAGATGTGGTGGAGACACTAATTTACTACCATTGCGGAAGTAATAAAGTTTCATCTGACATTGAAGATGGCTTTGTTTATGGAATAGGAAAAGGAATTGTTATGTTTTTGAGGCATAAGCAGAAGATGACTTGACATGTTACCTGAAGAAGAGATGTTTGTCTGGATCCTTTCTGAACATATTAAAAAAAATTAGCCGTAAAGACTTTTTAATACCATAGTAAAATTCTCAATGTTTACTATGTTCTTTTTTTTTTTGAAATGAGCATACAAATGGTGCTAAATTGCTAATCAGTTTAGGAATAGAAAGTTCAGTCTTTTGATTCATTTACTTAGTGTACATGTGACAGGTTCATAGTCTGAAAGGATTTCATTTCTATGAAACAAAAATGCTTTCTTACTTCCTTTTTCAGGTCTCACTCTTTTCTATTTATCTTATTGCTACATATACCCAGAATATACATATTCAGAAAGCAACAAAGAATTTGATCAGTCACCATGAATGACATGTACTGCATATATTAGCACTTGCTGACCCAAATCTGGGACTTAAATAATGGAAAATCATTTTTAAATTATTACAGTTACTATGATTGAAGAAAAATGGTTGTTCAAACCAATAACTGTCACAAGAGAATTTTATCCCCTGCCAAAAGCACAGTACACATGAAACATATTTCTAACTTCTGTTGTAAATTAATTAGTACTGTTCATGTACATTAAGGCTAAAATTTAATAAAAAGTCTCAACTTTCTAAAGATCCAACTGAAATATCTGCTAATGAGTAGTAAGATCCAGAGATTGTAAAATCAAAAACATTATATACTAACTACTAACAGTAGTAATAATTCTCAATGATACCAGATCAGATCAGTGCGAGTTAACTTTTAATTGGTCTAACCAGACTTACTGTTTTGATATTTCACTTAAAAAAAAAAAACTAAAAAGAAGTACTGTACAAGATTTAATTCTTCTATTTTTAAGGCTGCAATTTTACTTGTGGTATTGGTTGAGCTATCAAGTTATCATTTAGGATCTATTATGGATCTAAATGCATACTGGAAATTTGATATCCATATAATTTATTTGATACATATATTTAATATAGAAACAAAATTAGTGGTATCGGCATTCCTTAGAAAAATAATCTCTTTCTTTATCTTCCAGCCCTGCTGCCACAGCAGTAATCTCTCTGGCATTTGGACGCTACATATTGGAACCATTTTTTATACAGTGTGAAATCCCTGAGCTTGCTGTTAAACTCATTACAGCTGTAGGAATCAGTAAGTACTGAATTTTGATAGAAAAGGGATTAGGCAGGTTGAATCAGGTTGAAAAATTGTTTTGATTTGGGGTAGCCAAATTAATTTGAAAAAAGTGTTTCTGTACCTGCTCAGAAACATTCAAATCATTTGATTGAAAAGTTTTCAGTATAATTATTTGTTCTGATTTTCCAACTTGATTCATAGAGTTAATTCAATCAAATCACTTTGGAATCAAATATCTGAAGTAAAGCTTTATTCAGCACTAGTTAATAGACTTAATGTTTCATATTGTGAAACTTACTATGATTGTATTTTATAAGAGGCAAATTAAAGTATAAACTAATAGAATATAATGATATCTGTAACTTCTATTGGATTTTTATAGATTATATTGAATGGGGGTTTGTTTTAAAAATAGAAGATAAGACATAACTATAAAAGGAAGGAATTCAAGTAGGATTATTAGATCAAGTTTATAGTAGAAATGTTGTTATTTTGGATAACCCTTAAGGGATTTTTGCTGATGGAGAAAATTTTTAAAAATTGCTTATAGAGGATGAAGTGAGATATGGGATGAAGAGATAGTTGTATTTAAAGATATAATACAACATTAAAATTGTTTATACTTGCTAGGACAAAGGAAAAAGTTCTCTTTTCTTTTTACCTGTACCTTTTCTTTTTACTGTTACTCATTATAGCTTCTATCAGTTTTATATCTACATGTAGTTTTCAATAAAAAGAATATTAATAATATCAGAATAAATCATTGGAAATTATTTGGAAGAACATTTCTAAAGTTAAGCAATATATGAGTAACTTTATGTGGGTTTAAAGGGAAAGAAGGCTAGACTCTGGGTTAAGGAAAAATGGGAAAGTCATTTTCTTTTTGCAGAACTTTAAATGCAATTTGCAGATGTAAGACACCACTACCCATTGGATTAAGTATTTCAGTGAGATATATAATTAGATAACATATTACAAATTAAAGAAGGCAAAACATAACAAATTGAAGTTATAATATAAGGAAAAAGCTGGAACCCAAAATAGACTTCTCAAAATTTTAAGATGTTGAAAGTTGCAAAGTTGCAAAATATGAAAGTTAAATTTTAGGTGTTAAGCACTGGAATGTAATTTTTAATCTTGTAGTGTTTTAGGACTTGGTTATTAGATAGACCATCTCTGCCATTCTGGATACTGAGGTATGTCTCCTTTAGAGGCTCATATATTGGGCATTTGGGAGACAGACTTTTCTTGCTTTGCTCCAGGCAATGGAATGTATTCCTTCAGAGGCTGTATTTCCACCTTAGAAGACAGATAACGTGCATCATTTTGGTAGACCATTAAATGTTAATGATTGAAAAGAGAAATATTAATGTTTCCAGGTCCTGTATAATTGGCATAATATGCCAATAATGAAACAATAGATGTTGCCAATGGAATTTTTGCTATTAAAATGCAAAAATATTTGTGGCTGGTATTAAAAAATTAATGTATCAAAAATTATGACATCATGCAAGATGATTCTAATTAGCCATGAAAATTAGTTCAGCTTGCATTTTATTATCCTTGAATTACAGCTTCCCCAAAATATGGTTAACTACTGGATGATAGCAAATGAATATAAAAGATACTAATTCTTTGTGGTCCTGTAGAGGTTTGTTTTATAGACCAGATATACTATAAAGGCTCTAGAGCAGATGCAAGTAAAGTTTTCATCTCAATTCACTTAGGAAATAGACATAAAAGCTACTGGTCTCTGTTCTATTGCAACTTCCACTTCTTTGTTCTAAGAACAATACAATGAGAGTTATTTGGAGACTTGCTCTGATTAAGACAAGAAGAAATAGTGGTTTGACTGTCATTAAATGATCTCAATGGAGAAGAGAAATGCAACTAAGAGCCTTTGCTATTGTGAAACATTTAGGTTGTTTTGGGGAAAGCATTACTGCCTCTATTAATTAATAAAGCATTTAGCACTCTCTTTTATAAGGGTCCTGCAAAATGTTATTAGGGAAAAGGTGGCCTTTTCACTTGCAGAAAGAGATGTAGTCATGAAGCTTTAATAATGGGGTATGCAACCCTAGGCATACATCATGTGGTTTGTGAGCACAGTTGAGATTAATTAAGCACTCTAGAACTGCTGCAAGGCAAACATGTGTAGGAAGATGCCATAATATATTAACGTGTCTGTATCTGTTTTGTAAATTTTACAACTTATTGAATAACAATAACAACAAAATCTCTGGCCATATACCATCTAAATGTTCTGATTATAACAATTCTAAGAAAGAAAAATATGCAAGATATGTTGTATATCTCAGATTAGTTTATTTGGGATATAATTTATATAGGATCCATATGAGCGTCCATTGGTCTCTGTCTGATTTTTTTACTCTTAGAGGGCTGAGTACTATGAGAATTATGAATATGATGCAGCAAGAAAACAACAAATGTGTTTTATTTATTTAATTTAATACTTAATTTTCTTTATATGCTAGCCAGTGAAACACTAGTAGGATTAAGAAAAGTTCCATGCCTTTCATGGTTCCTACTGGACTTGAATATAGAAACTGAAGATAAAAACTGTTTGCAGAAGACTATGAATGCTGATATTTGTCCATTTGTATTTTGTGCAAGCAAAAATGTATAAACTGCTGAAAATGATGTATCCAAACTCAGTTTATTTATTAGATGTGTATTCCACCTTTTGTTCAGGAATTTGAGTCAGTAAACATAGTGCTCTCTCAACCCACTATATTTTATCTATATTGTATATTAAAATTAATATATATACATTAAAATGTATATGCATTAAAATTAATATATATGCAGAGGATGCAACTGCTTAACATCCTCTGCTGCCTCTCTTCTTCAAGCAGGACTTTGTGAGTCATGGAAATTTCCAAATTATGAAATTTCCAATTTAGAGTAGGGAAGTGGAACACTGTTCAGAATGAAAGATGAAAAGAGTACAAAGAAGAGCAACAAAGATGATCAGGGCACTGGAGGCTAAAACATATAAGGAACGGTTGCTGGAATTGGTTATATCTAGTCTAATGAAGAGAAAGATGAGGGGTGACATGATAGCAGTGTTCCAATATCTCAGGGGCTGCCACAAAGAAGAGGGAGTCAAGCTATTTGCCAAAGTACCTGAAGGTAGGACAAGAAGCAACGGATGGAAACTAACCAAAGAGAGAAGCAACCTAGAACTAAGGAGAAATCTTCTGACAGTTAGAACAATTAATCAGTGGAACAACCTGCCTCCAGAAGCTATGAATGCTCCTACATTGGAAGTTTTTAAGAAGAGATTGAAATGGGATAGGGTTCCTACCTGAGCAGAGGTTGGACTAGATGACCTCCAATGTCCCTTCCAACTTTATTGTTGTTGTTGTTGTTGTTGTTATTATTATTATTATTCTCTGGAATCATTCCAACCACAAATCTAAAACCATTCTTCCTTGGAGGGATTCATTTGAAATTTATTCTTCATCATTACGTATTTGCTCCAAAAGGCAAGATGCATAATTGGGTATCATTATCATTAATGATAATAACCCTGTTGCCAGCAATGACCTCCTTCAGCAGCTTCATGACAATGTTAAACAGGAATAAATGGAGAAAAGATCACTGATGCATTCCATATATTATAGGTGAAGTAGCCTGCAGTACTGTATTCTAACCACTGCGCCATCAGGGCTTAGTGGTTGTAAAATGGGGCAAAACTCATTTAACAAATGTCTCACTTAACAACATAAATTTGGGGCTCAATTGTGGTCATAGGTTGAGGACTACCTCAACTTGTATAGACCATCTTGAATCCTTCTTCCAAAGACCCAATCTGTTTCTTCTAGAGTTCTTACAAAGTTGCCACTTTCTATGCAACCTTTCCAAAATAATTATCCAAGGCTGTTGGATCAAGGAAAACCTTCTTGAGCTGGACCATAGCTTTCTGAGGAAATACTCTGGACTCAAATCAGAGTCAATTTATTGCTTGGATCCATTTCCTTCCACACTTAATCAGGGAGGAGGAGCCGGGATCCATTTCAGAAGTGACAGCACATCACTTTTGCAGAGAGTTTTATCCACTTCTTCAAGACTCACAAATGATACTATTTAACAGCATAAGGCTTCAGTCACTGTATTGCCATTGTTCAGCTGAACTTCAGTTCATGGCACACTAATCACCACCGTGTAAACTTGAGCTTAGGCCCATTCCAGTATCTGGTCAGACTCAAGACAGTTTTGGTAATGAGCAATTAAATGAAACTCAGCATGGAAGATGTAGCATCCAAAGAATGTTTATGCTAACATTTTGATACTTGATACTAGACAATGAAGATAATCTTGTAACCAAATTGTTACTATTTAGAAATTTCCTTGCTTTTAAAACATGACCTAAGGCAGTGGTTCTCAACCTGTGGGTCGGGACCCCATTTGGGGTCGAACGACCATTTCACGGGGGTCGCCAAACAACGCAGTCCGCCATTTTTATCCGCTTTTCCTTAGCTGTGCTACTCCCTTTTATTCTATTGGCTTTTGAAAGCCAATAGAATAGATTCTCTTGAATAGAGTCTAATTCTATTGGCTTTCAAAAGCCAATAGGAATTGTCCAGGCTGTCTCTGCCCTGCTGACCCGCCAAAAGTCCCATTCTGCAAACGGTGCTGCACCAGTTGAGTAGTCCTCGACTTATGACCGGTTGAGTAGTCCTTGACTTACAACTGGTTGGGGGTTGCAGCATTAAAAAGGTTGAGAACCACTGACCTAAGGGGTGCTGAAAATCCTAACAAGACTAATGATCATAGGAAAGAGATGTTTCTATGTCTCCTCTGGTCTTATAAGAAATATATTCAATCCTTGTTATTCAGTTGTTAAGTTAATGTAGAGCAGACATGTCAAACTCGCGACGTCATGTGACGTTGCGCAATGTATCGGGACGGTTTTGCCATTGCCGGCAATGGGATGGGCACGGCTTCTGGATGACGTGTCCAGCCCGTGGGCCAGCAGTTTGAAATTCCTGATGTAGAGGGGAGACCTATAAGTGTTCCATAGCTGTGTTTATTTTGCTGCTGACTTAAAGTTTAGAGAAGTACCGTACTTTCCGGTGTATAAGACGACTTTTGAAAGCGTTGAAATCAGCGCCGAAGTCGGGGGTCATCTTATATGCCAAGTTGTCTTATACGCCAGAAATAACACTAGTTTCTGGCGTATAAGACGACTTTCTAGGTATGTGACTCGGCGCCGAAGACGACTTGGGTCGTCTTATACACCGGGTCACCTTATACGGTGGAATATATGGTAGATACCTAATATGTTCTCACTTGCATCAATAATATTAATGTTTCAGAGAGGTCAGTCAAATATTTCTCTCCCATGAGTTTGTTATTTTCTTCTGTTAAAAAAGTTTTAAAAACTTTGATATTATAATGTGCAGTTTTATATATAAATTGCAACATACATTACACACATATCTGTCACTTCAAAATTATATGATGTAATGATATTACTGTCATAATCATGTCAATAATGCCAGCATTTGCTGTCATAGTATGATCTTATAGAGTTATATTTTAAATATCTTGCTATTATGAGCTAGACTAAGATTCCACTTTTTTTTTTTTTCATTTTCAATCCAGTTAGTCACAAGTAGAAGAATGTAAGGCACAATAAGGTGAAATAAATGGGTTGAGACAGAGGAATAGAGGAGCGGACACAGAGAGTCCATAGCTTAGAAAAGCATTTTGCTTGTCATCAATAATTGATAAAGACACCAAGTAATGAAGTAGCAAATATAAGACCTATTTACTACTTATTAAGCTCCTTGAAATCTTTATAATGATAATAAAAGACAAACTGCAATCATTTTTTCATTTGGTGAATTAGGAATTATTTTGAGGAACTTTTTTCTCATTGATTTCAGCAAATTTGATAATATCATAACACCTTAAAGTTATTCAAAGAAATAGCTTTGTATAATACTCAATAAAGTTGTATTCTTCTAATTATATTTTAAGTGCCCATTGAATTCCACAACATGATATGGTAATTAAAAGTGAGCATTCCTCAAAAAAAAGGTTACTGCATAAAATGTGTGCACATGTCAATAAATAATATTTGATTATATGTTCAAGGACTAGGACATTGTCTATTGTTATTTATATTTATTACTGGTTTAATTTGTTTTTTTATTGAATACCAGTCTCTGAGGAATTTTTAATAAGGAATCTTGGTATACTCAGCATTCTTGTTGGTTTTGTTTTTGAGAAATTGGTGAAATTGGTATAAAACTTTGTAGCACTGATAGGCCTCTTTCATATGTTTGCTTACAGAGAGTCCAGACATGCTACTGTGTACTATTACAATAGTATAATCCAAATAACTGGTCTTTCTTAAAAGAATTAGGAGAATTCTTACATCTATCCACTTCTTCACAGAAAACTGCAGACAGTTTTTAGGAGTGTGCAGAGATGTAGCATAAATTTATAATTTTGTAGAGTCCACAACTATTGTATATACTAATCCTGAACATTAGTATTTTTAACTTTTGTGTAATTTTATTCTCTTGGTGTTCAACCATTTTATTGATTTTAATATATATATGTGTGTTTTCTGAGGTTTTCGCAGGTATTTGTATGTAGGTCTTTGGTTATTGGGTTTTCTCCCATGTAAAATTGGAAGTGTCTTGGCGACACGTTGAAACGTCACCAAGACACTTCCAATTTTACATGGGAGAAAACCTGAATAACCAAAGACCTACATATTAAACCAAATAGGAAATGAATGTGAGCAGAGAAGTAAAATTGGGGAGGGAGGGGTCCTTGGTGCTCTGTGAATTTGTTTGTTTTCTTGCAGAGATTTCATTATCCAAATTAGATAACATCATCATTGCTAGTCATTATCTAGTTTGGGTAATGAAATGTCTGCAAGAAAATAAGCAAACTCAGAGGGCACCTAGGATTCCTCATTTGAGCAACAAATACTCTCCTTTATAAGTAAAATTAAGTCTGGTTTAAAATTTGAGTTATAGCAGTCCATCTATTATCAAATCTAGTTCTACAGTGAGGGACAAGCTTAATTATGTTTACTGGAAGGCTAACAGAACGCTATGACTGCTACTTCGGAAGGTATAGGAGATTTTTATTTGATGATACTTTGTAAAAAGTTTTTTAATAATAAGCTGTAAGAAAACTTTTCAGTAAAGGTTAGTAAGGATAATGTGAGTTGTTTTGCTAATGCCTGGGATGCATGGTGGGAGAGGTTCTGCCTAACAGAGCTTTTATGGCGCTTTTGAATGAATGAGAAACACTTGTTTTTAACTTTTCTTTTTCCTTTTCTCCAGCAGTTGTAATGGTCCTGAATAGTATGAGTGTCAGCTGGAGTGCCCGCCTTCAGATTTTCCTAACCTTTTGCAAGCTTGTAGCAATTCTGATAATTATAGTCCCCGGAGTTATGCAGCTAATTAGAGGTATGAACTGAAAAGTAAATGCTATTTTATGTGCTTTCATCTCCCTCCTTCCCATTCTTGCCCCTACCAAAGAGTGCTTATGCCAGCAAAAATAGTAATAATTAGTCTCTGCTTGTTCAATTTAAGTTCCATATTGTCAGGTAAATAATTGGAAGTAAAACTTACATTGCATTATCTGGCTATCAGATCATATTGATGCTACATCTATAATTTTTAAATGTTGGACCAAAAATTGCTTCTTGCAGCAAAATCAAAAACAAGCAAACAGGATCTTAAAGATTCTTGTAATGATGGAAAACTCAAGTTTCTATACTGTATATTTTATATAGAACAGCATAGTGTATATGTAATACAACTTTATAGCCTTTCTCTTTATTGGAAACATTCCTGTATAAAGCACCACTCCCACTAATTGGTGCTCACTCTTAACATGTTTCTTAAGTAGAATCTTTAAAGTTATTTAAGTGGATAAGTGAGTTCTATTCCTTTAGACTGCCGTTGGCTACAGTAATATTGTGCTTGCACCAGATGCTAATCATAATCAAAGTCTCTAATGGGGTGGATTTACTACAAGAATAACATTTTATTAGCCATTATTCCAACACTGTTTCTTCATCCTGAAAACATTTTTTCATCAAGATCTAATTCAGCTATATGAGAATCTAGTAACCAAGATTTTGGTTCATGGCTTCCTTTTTCTCGTTCTGTATGTGTGAAGGGAAAAAAAAGTACAGTTTGGATTAAGTCACATTTTCTGTTAGATTCCAACATAAGAACTATGATTTGTCTAAGCCCTGGCCAATTAAAGAGACAGGATCTGAAATCACGTGATGACTAACTGTTCAAACCATATTTTCTCCTAGTCAGATATTTACTAATGAAAGCCAATTATGAATAAAATATTTGAATTTATTTGCTCCAGATTTAAAAAAAACCACAGAAAAGCAAAGAAATAAGTGCCAAAATATTGTAGCATAGTATGTACATTGTGTGTGTGTGTGTGTGTGTGTGCACATCTACACTTTATAATAGGCAATGACACTTTCATGTGGTGTCTGTTTGGGCTTTTATGTTCTTGAGTTTTAAAAAAATGTATTTTCAAGAGTAAAATAAGGGAACCCTAAGGGAATGCAATTAAAAGAAACTTTTTAACTAGTAAACCTGTCAGAAGTAAATAAGTTAATGTTTTATTCTTAGCAGCATTCTTGCATCATTCAAAAACCTTTTGTTGAAACAAAAATTGGGCTGCAATTCTTGAATGACACATTGCAGTAAGTTCTCCAGAATGTTAGAAAATGGCACGGAGAATTAAAAAATATTTAAAAATGTAGGCTATTGTTTCAGTTTTTTTCTGAAATTTAAATCAGTCTAAAAATGCAGATTGTGCTCTGAATGCATTCATAATGGAAGATTATATCAGTCATATTACACCTGGCATCCAGGAACAAAGAAACTATTTCTGATTTATCTAAAGAATTGGGGTTGATAAAACTGAAGTGGGACAAAATATTGTATAATGATTTATCTCTGGGTTGTTTATGTTGGTAATATTTTAACCTTAATAAAATTGAAATCAACCTTGGTATGTTTTTTTTTTCTTCCCAGGAAAAACGGAGCACTTTCAAAATGCATTTTTGGGAAATGTAGCCAGTGTCAAAGGATTGCCTCTAGCTTTTTATTCTGGAATGTACGCTTACTCTGGTTGGTAAGTTATGCTGCTGATTTACTGAATGGCTTTTGATTAAGAACCCTCTTGTGAAATAAATTCTAACCCACAGAGACATTGCCTGCAGTTTTCCTTTAGTGCCTCTTTGAGGCTAAACATGGGGTGGAAAGAGTTCCTATCCTAGTGAAAGTTTTGATATGTGAATTCCAACACTGGGAGTTTCAGAGACAGATTCCAGAGTTATCTGCAATTTCAGGGCACAAGGAAAGTTCTAGGAAAACTGTCACTATCTGTGACAGTGTTTAATTTCCTTGGTTGCATAGGAGGAATCAAGGGAAAAAGTGCTATCAGACTTTGAGTACAATAGATAAGATTATACTGATTTCATTTGAATTAGTTTTGCTCCTCTGGATTCCCAATTATACTGTAAGGTTGTAAGGTGTCTTCTTTGGTTTGCGTTTATAGAATGCTATGAAAATCTTGCCACTAATAAATGGCTTTGTTTATTTATAAATCATGTTCTTTTGATTTAGACAAGAAATCATAGCTAAATCTATATAGCTTAGTTTGAAGTATAAGTCCATCCAAACTTCAAAATGGCATGCAGTAGAACTCTTGTGATATAACAGATTAGAGTTTAGTAATTCCTGCTATCTCAAGATTAGTGGTAGCTAATCTTGAGATAGCAGTGAGCTTCCATGGTGAAGCCCCCAGTGAGCTTCCATGGTGAAAGTGGGATATAATCTAAATCATATCAGTGTCCATCCAAGACACGAACTGCTATATAGTTTAGTTCTTTCAAAGACAGGATTTTAGAAACTATGGATAGCACTGCTAATCACTTTTATTAACACTCATATTGTGCGATGATATTTTGATGTAATATAAAACAGGCTTCAGATTGGAGCCTTAATTCCAATTTTGTAGCTGGTTATATACCATAAACCTGACTAAGCCTCACATCCTATATCACATTTATTCCAAACACTTATTAAGAAAAACTATTCAAATAATATTTAGAAATGTTAAAATGATGGTGTTAATGGCAACTTTGTTTTTATAGGTTTTATCTCAACTTTGTTACTGAAGAAGTGGAAAACCCTGAAAGGCATGTACCCACCCTATTTCAACTCAATTCTTAAACTTTTTAAATTTATATTGCTGTTTAAAAAGTGGGAAAAGGCTTATATACAAATCCTTTAATTTATTTAAGATTACCTTGCATGATGTTCAGCTTGTTTTTGCTTTGCAGGTTCGAAACATGTTGTTGCTTCAGACTTTGCTATTTTTGATTTGACTTGTCCTGAGTTAATAAGCAAGTAGATCTGTAATCTTCTTTTCGGTAATATGAGATCATTTCAATGGCAAGGCCCTAAGGGAGAGTTAACATTCTTAATGAAGATTTTGTACCAGATGTTATATCTTGGATATAAGTCAGCCAAATTGTTTTGTGATTTCATCCTACTAAGACCCAATTTAAATAAGGAAGGACCCTGTAGACAACATTAATGTAAACCATTGATGCTTTAAATGGCAGGATACAATTAAACCATTTATGTGCAGACTTAGTATGTTAACAATCTGAATCCTATGATGATGTTTTGCTAGACTTTTAACATTGTTTATAAATTATCCAGTGGATAACAAGAATTTTTCAATAAGATGACTCCCATTTTATGACTCTATAATCCCTTAATTTGGGATAGAGTTGGGGCTATATGCAATGCTTATATGCCTCCCTCTACCATGGACATCTGACATTTAAATCCAATTTGGGAACCATCTAAGAATTTTGGAATTGTGATGGAACTTTACTACCAGTGCACTGTAGTAATGTTGTTATGTATTCTAGTATGGATATAAATTCAAGTTTGGCAACTTGCAATCCCAGAGCTACAGGCTGTCCTTTCCCTCTTTTGGCAACCCCTGAAGTTCTATCCAAAACTCATTGGTGTGATGGTTGAAAATTAGCAAAATGATTTCATATATCTTTGAGGTGGGCCAACACAAACAATTAGGATCACTAAAATGTATTTTACCTGGTTAAAAACTAAAGTAAAATCCTTCTCCATTACCACTGGAAAAGAAATAGAAAAAAACAATCCTACCCACATACCAATTTTAATTACTGGCTCATCCTTCAGAAATTTTAATTGTGTGCTGATTCCAGAAAGTTGAAGTTTTGTGATGTAGGTTTAAGTATTATATAGCTGCTTGAATATCGAAGTGCAGCAGGGGATACTTTTGTCAGGAAATTTTAAGATTTACAAAAGACTATAAAATAATACACAGTATAGCTTCCAAAACTAAGTGATAAAAAGTTCTAAAACTCTTCATTTTGCAAGATATTGAAAAAAGCCTAAAACAAGGAGAAAGATAGAAAATGTGACCAGTATGTTTAAGTGAGATCCATATAAACAAGCACACTGAAATGGACCGTGAAGGAAGTCTGTACACAGGCAAAAATGTCCTATCAGACACAGAAATTATAGCAGATTGCATCGAGCTTATTTTTTGGGGGAATGTTGTTGCCATCTGTTTTGCAGACATCTGTAATTTTCAAGTTCATTTCAATTGGTTCCAAAGAATGTTTCAAAATTTGGTTATTCAGGCCTAAACAGTAGGTTATTTGCATATTGTCCACTATCAATTCCAGATTTTATTTATTCTGTCATAGGTGCAGGGTGACTCAATACAGATATAGAAAGTAAGGAAGCCCCATCTTTCTCTGTAATCCTTTCATTTGGAAAAATGAGTACTTGCAAAAATCTGAGAAAAGAAGATTTAATGAAAACATATCATCAGTTTTAAGTTTTTACTTGCTACAGAAAGTGAGACCAAAATTAACATATAAAAGTTGCAGCTAATTTTATTTCATTTAAATACAAATAAAGATCTTACAGCAGTAGAATAGTTTACATACAGAATTTATGGTTGTTCCATCTCTAGAGGCTTTGAAACCAAACAATAGTTTTTGAGAGTGGTTGAACTGATTTTCTTATACAATACAGAGAATTGGACTGGATGATGCTTTGTCAGTCTATGTTTTACCAAAATGAATGCTTGCTCCAAAATTAGTCACAGTTATGTTTCCAGGTGAACTTCATGATGCAGAAGAAAGACAGTTCATATTCATTGGATCATGCCCAAACAGTTGTAATTACCTTTAATATTACAATGACTGTATGCTGGAAAATAATTATGTGGCCTGAAGAAATAAATCTCTGTAATGCAAGGCATAAATTGAATTAGAGTTAAGTCATTCAGCTAAGTTGAATCCTTTAACGATTGATTTATGTAACATCTTTTCAAACCTCCCATCCCATCCCAGACTACAATATTCTTTTTTCCCCTCCTTTGGTTTGGAGCAAACACTATTTCATTTTGTTACACTGACATTATTGTTCATATGGTAAAGGATAATTAAGCAACCATTTTATAAGAAGCAAGATGATGGAAAAGAATAATGTAGTATAAGAACAATTTAATTAAATAAATTGTAGAACAATAATTAATAGCCAGTTTAATCTAGCAGTTAAAGGCATCAGGCTAGAGACTTTGAGACTGTGGGTTCTAGTCCAGCCTTAGGAAAGAAGACAGCTGGGTGACTTTGAGTCAGTCATGCTCTCTTAACCCTCAGAAGAAAGAACTGGCAAGCCACTTCTGAAAACTGCATGGACTTTTCCAGGCATAACAACAACAACCTTAATCCAATAAGAATGAAGTACATTCTTGATTTACAATCATTTATTTAGTGACCATTCGAAGTTACAATGGCATTAAAAAAGTGACTTATGACAACTTTTGTCACTTATGACCATTGTAGCCTCCCCATGGTCATGAGATCATGTATTTATGACAGTTGGAATATCCTGGGATCTCACTTAACAACTGGCTTGTCTAGCAACGGAAATTTTGGACTCAATTGTGATCATAAGTAGAGGACTATGTTTATATAAACTATCAAGTTATATATTTAGGATATTAAATCCCAACCCAGTAAAAACATCCATCTTCTATATATTTTAAAGCATTTTTTTAAAGATCTAGATAAATTAAAATGTGATGTTAGGCTATAAATATGAACATCCTAACAAATTGGTCTAGAGTTTTGGTATCAGGAACTGCTTCTAAAGTTTTTGGCTTCACATGAAAAACATGTAAATAAATGAAAACAATAATATTTGAGGGCAACATTCCTTAACAGTCAGAATGGCCAGAAACATAGATATTGCTGTGCTAGGGGTTCTGTTAAAGAAATGTAGAGCAGAATTCTTTATTTACATATAAAATGGACCTTTCAAAAGTTTGCAAATGGTCTGTTTCTGCTTGTTAAATAAGTTTAAGGCTGTTCTATCAATTTATCATTGTTTAAAAAGTTACACTGTGAAAGTAATGTATTATTGAGATGTATAGTATTTGTAAGCCTAGTCTTGGGTTGATAAATCATGTCTAGTGCCTCTAGAAATCCAAAGAATGAATTGCTTTATTATAACCTTGAGGGGTCTTAGATTAGTCAGTTTGTCTATTAGACTTACTGCAGTGTACTTCTCACTTCATTTATTCCTTCTGTTCTTGAAAGCCAGGATGCTGCAAATTTGTTGCCAGGGTTTCATATCATTAGTCATTTTGGAAAAGCAAACTATCAGACTAGCCTCCATATTCTTTTGTGTTTTTTTAAAAATCAGGTTTAAATAATCTGACTGTTATATGTAATTAACATATTATCTGCTTCCTATTTATATTAATTAATGCCTGAAAGTCTCAGCACCCAGAGTCAATGAGAAATGAAAAGACAAAGCAAAATAGTGAATCTATTTCCACTTTTAAGAATATATTATTTAAGATATATTAATTTAATTTATAGATTAATTTAACACATAATAAATTCCAACTTTTGAAATTTTTGAATGCCATATTCTAATGTAACTCCTAGTTAAATCACTAGCTCTCTCATGATGCTTTAAAGAACAATCTGGATATACCTAATTTTATTAATTAATTAGTTGTCAAATTTATATGGCTGTGCATATCACACAAGGTGATTCTAGGCGGAATACAATAAATCAACAATTAAAACAATATAAAAAAACAGTTAAATCAGTTAAACAACACCAGTAAAAACAAGATTGCAAAAGGGTTAATTTAGGATATTAGGCTTGTCACAGTCTCAGTAGGACCTGGACCAAGCATGTAATTTGGACTGAATTTCAGCAACTTTTTTTAATAGATGCTCTGAAAATTCCTTTGTGCAGTCTTGTATATGAATCTTCAAGTCTTCCATGCCCAAAAATGCATGGGTCACTTGGAACAAGGTCATGGGGTGGTAATCCATGGTTGCAGTACAGATCAAAATGTATTGATGCTTTTGTCCTAATTTTGTTCATTGTATTTAATAGTCTTATTATATATTTGTACTTACAAAATAGAAAGTGTTGGGGTATTCAGTGCTTTATGTAACAACATTTACTTTGCAGTATAAATTATAACAATTGGCCTTGAGAAAGTTGGTTCACTTTTATGATTGATATTTTTTTTATTTATTTGTTTTGGAATATGAATTGTGGGATTGTAGCTTCTTTGGAAGATAATGCCTGCTGTGAAGAGATATTCCTTCACAGAGATAGAGTGTCAACCTTGCTTATGACAAGATAAAATGGTTTGCTTTTGGCAACATTATGAGCAGAAATAAGTGATGTTTTTAATAGTTCAATAAGGTTTTTGAAAAATCAGGGCTATGGGTTGATGGTAGTGAGTATGAAAATATTTCAGATTGCAAAATATATAGTATTAACAGTTTTGTAAATAAATCCTGCTTAAGAGTGCATAACTTTAATACATGATTAGTCAAGACAATGCTTAACACACACATTTGAGATACGAACTGATCTATGATATGTTTTTAGTAATGAAAGTTTTGAGGCTTGGTGTTAAATAAATGTACAAGAAACATTTTGCTTCTTTGTCATAGTCCAAGGACATTTATTAAAGCTAATTGCTTCTTCAACCTAAAGATTGTTAACCTATTTTTAAAAATTATAAAATCCAAAAAGAAGGGGGGAAAAACAGCAACAATACTAACATACAAGCACACAAAAGAAGCAGGAA